CGTAAGATTAGATCATCTTGTGTGAAAGCTCAGTCCCATTATCGGATTTCGCCGCTTTCAACGACCTCCACAGAAGCCATAAAAATGTGAGGCAGTTAATGGAATACTCAAATCATAGCAACTTACGGGCCTCTTTGCTAGTAAATGCTCGATGATGGGTACGTTTGAATCCAAAGGCGAACGGCAGATTTTGCACCTTTGCTTCCCACCTAGCTCAGCCGTTGCCAGTCCCTAGCCCTGATGATAAAGCAGGTGAGTTGGGGACTGTGGCGACGTTTCCTGTGAAATTTAGCCCCCTGTCCTAAACGGTATTACTGTGATCGAAGGTAATGCCAGCTCGGTGATCGACCGAGTTACCAAGGGCAGTTCAGGCTGTTGGGGATCTGAGGGTGGTCACGAAAAGTCGGCAATCGGAACCTGTTTCACACCTTCTGGCACCTGGGATAGCAGCAGCACGGCAAGCACAAGAGAAGATTGACAGGAAGAGAAAGAAACTAGTCAGCAGTGGATCTGCTGCAAATTCTGAACAGAGGAGGCAGGTAGCACGATGCCGTCTGAGTATTTGTGATACTGCTCAACGGGATTGATACCGGCAATTGGAAATCAGAGTAAAAATTTTAACATGCCTTCACTCAGGGAAAGAACAGGAACCAGTTGCTTAGATCAAAAGAAACCGATCGACAGCGTTGGACTCAAAGCGCCAGAGATCTGAAATTCTGAAACGCTGTGGGTGGAAGTTTTTCTGCTCAGGTGTCGACTTCATGACACCCGCTCAAGCAAGTGTTGGAATTTTCGTAGAATCCAACCAGACTGACATAATCACTGGATGGAAGCTTGTCAGCGCAAGAGGGGCAATTATCTCACAAAAATTACAGCGGGATAGAGCTTTGTCCTTGTCACAGGCCTATTAGCACTGAAAATATGAGTCCTCTTTTGAAAAAGTAGAATGTGCTCTGCACGAAGTGCCGAATACGGAGTCCCTCATTCTAATGGGAGACCTGAATCCTCATGTCTGAGCAGACATGCTAAGGTGGAAAGACGTGATTGGAAAGAACAACGGCATGAGGTTGTTGCTACGGGTTTATGCAAACAACGGACTGTCTATTATGAATCCTTCTTACAGCATCAAAGATTGCATCGGTACACCTGGTAAGCGAAAGATTAATAAATTTGACAATCGTATCGTCTGACCATAGACGCTCAGTAATGGATGTTTGCGCTAAGAGATGC